TATTTAATTAATTCCCAGGCGAGTTTTAAAAACGCCATTCTGAAATTTTCATATTTTTTAGTAAATTTTCCGAGGAATCCGATAGTATTTGTAAAAAATAAATTAACTCCGGGTGCCATGGTCAAAATTAACTTTTAAGATTTAATTTGCAGAAAAAGTATTTTTTTTAAAGTTGTGGTTAGGAACATAATTTCATCAAAAAGCTGATGTAGTAGCGTCTGAAATGAAAAAAAAAATTGTTCTACTATAAAAAACGACGTAGATACGACGACTTGAAAATTACCATAAAATGCAAAACTCAAAATTTAAAATCGCTATTTCTTCGAAAATAAATTAAAAAAAAAAATCCCGATACACGTGTTCGCTTATTTTATATCTACAATTGGTAAAAAAAAGTTTGAAGCGATTTAAAAATGTCGAAAAAAAAGTGTTCGGTTTGTAAAAGAATGCCTCTTACATATATGCGATGGAAAGGTACCGGTTCCCCATGAGGCGTACTTTCCGCGATGCGTAGGTTACGAAAACCCATCGTAAATTCATTTAGCATTTCTGTTAGAGTGTACAACAGAAATTCTAATCAGCAATTGGTTGCATTAGTTCCGCATTTCTCTAATCTTCCGCGAAATACGCTCAATGTGAATGCGGGCTTTCAGAATGGCGTATTCTAATAAATAAAAAATAACGTATTCTATTAAATTACTAGAATACGCAGGTTACGCTTACGCAGGTTACGCCGCATGTGATGGCACCCTTACTGCTGCCATTGGGCGCATTCAGCGGATTCAACAGTTGAGTGAGCGCTCACTGTTATTGGTGTATTTTTCTAAATCTAAAATTCTGATTGGATGAGCTAAAAAATACACCAATAACAGCGAGCGCTCATTCAACTATTGAATCCGCTGAATGCTCCCATTATAGACAGCCCATTATGCGTCGTCTACAATACATGGAGTAAGAAGCAAAAGTAAAAAATTGATCAATCATAGTCGATTATTTTTTTCACATTCGATTGTGACAGGTCAATTTCTTACTTTTATTTCTTATTCCGCGTATTATAGACGCCGCATTAAGCTGGTTCTACATTAGTCGCATCGCAACGTCACAAGTGTTGTGGTCCAATAAAAATCAAGCTAGCTCGACTCTGATTGAACCGCAACGCTTGCGACATGCTTGCGACGGGGGTGATTCCGATTGACCACGGCTCGATTGGACCAATCACAGCGACCGGTGCTTAGGAGCTTTGTAGTCTCAAGCGCTGTGAGTGGCTCGTGTCCAATTGAGCCGTGTCCAACTGGGTGCCACCCCTTGCGACGCTGCGGTGAGACTATGTAGAACCAGTTTTAGGTGGCCCGCACACAATTTCCGTAAAGCCTCGTCTACGATAGTCGCACAAGCTGTGTCGCATGTCGTATGGAATGTCGCAGAAGTGTCGCATATAGTCGCATGATTGTAGTAGTCGCAAGAGCTCTTGTCGTACGGAGTTGAGCCAACTTCAACTTTCTACGACTACGACAGGCGTGTCGCATGA